CATAAGTCCCCGGGAAATAGCGACGCTCAACAGAATACTGTGCGGCTAACCCAGGGACTGTCCAGCCGCCCCACGGCCGGTACACCACCTCAGTCCCCTGCAAAGAACATCAATCAGGCGAGAGTATACCTAAAGGGTCGCGAAAAGGCAAATAAATAAAAAAATTCATACCGCGATAATCCAGTTTCGGACATATGTAGTAGACATATCCACATGGCCGCCCCAAAAAGCGCTCACTGGAAATCCGCGTGGCGATGGTCTCGCCGACGCAGTAGAGGGGAAGTGCTCGTAGAACTAGATCTACAAGGAGTAAAAATTGTAAGTAAATGCTAGCTAAAATGTAGAGCTAAAATTTATAGGGAATAATGTTTACCTTTACGACCTTCCAAAAGGCAGACAAAGCAACATTCATCCCAAAGGACCGGTGTCGACACGAGTCCCTCAGTGCACAAATGAAGTCAGCGTAGGCCAAGCTGGCCCAGTCATAAGTCCCGATCCGGTGAAGATCGCGGACAGCAGGAAGGTAGTAAAGCAACGCCCTACTACCCTTGCCAGGAGAGAACGTCCCTGACAACAACATCAGTGCAAAGATGCGCACCCGATGCTCTCAGATGGTCACATCGTCATCAAAAGTCGCTGCCAGCGTCAAGCGGCGAATCCCCCTAGCACTAAACTGAGACGTCTCGACCTCAGCTCGGGCCTGAATAGTGATCGGCCCCAACAGCTCCTCGACCCCAGCAGAAAAGACGTCGATTCCACTGTCGAACGACAATGGCACAGAGTTGAACTCCAGTCCTATAATGAGACTGAATTCCGTGGGGGTGACCATCATCTCGCCCCATAGGAAGTGGAAAATGTTGGTGGTGTCCCAGAAGAACTCCACCAAAGCACGCACTATATGGTGACCCCCACTGGAGGCAACCATCGCCTCGGAGGTCTCAAACAAGATAGCCAGTCCGCAAGACTCCCATAGGAGTCTCGTCTCAAGATCCCTGGCGATGTACATCTTGTACAAATCGCCCAAACCATCACAGCCGGAACCGTGATAGCGCGTCCTCCCGACCGTGATGCCCCGTCTCACCCTCTCAGAAATGTGGTGGACGGGGGCAAAGAACAGGGTCCGCTCGTCCCACTCGGGGAGTCGACCAAGCGAAGTAAATGGTGTAATGTCATCTTCTACGGGCTCATGCTCCCGTCGAGTGTTTCGGGACCATGAACCCAAACCTTGCTGTCTAGCCATACTACATTGTGCAAAATCATCATAAATTAAGGTTCTATAGTATCTAAGGTTCGCCTAGCCGCATGATACTATGTTCGCAAAAAACAGAGTACATAGTACTAAAACAGAGCACAAATTCAAATTGAGCATAACGGAATTTTTCAAGAAATCACACAATTTCTTGCAGTACTATAATAATTATTGTGACAAATTGGACAAGAATTTCTAGCAAAAACATCAAGAACAAGTCACATTGTTCTTCACGGCCTTAGGAGGTCCAACAATGGCAAATTGCTCATTTCTTCACCAAATTGAGTCAACCATATCTCAAATTACTCCCAAGGCAATATATAAACATAATCAAGCAATTTCATGGCATAAAAATTGACAAACAAAGTGAATTGAGCATTTTTAATTATGAATTTACATGAAATTCGTGAGTAAACATGTCAAAAATTCATAAAAACTGATGTGAGTTTGAAGAAAACTTACATAGATCGGGAAAGTAGATGAAAAGAGCTTTGATTTGCAACGAATTTGAGTGAATTTGGTTGAGAAACGAGCAAGAACCGAGCAATTGAAGTTTTGCGGTTTCCAAGCACCTTACGCGACGAGCAAACAGCAAAATGAAGAGGAAAGGGGTATTTAAGGAAAGCCCCGTGCTGGCGCCAAGCCCTAGGCATTGGCGTCAAAAATCAGGCTTGGCACCTAGCACCAATCCCAGCGCCTGGCGCTAAGGCTGATTGTGTGGCGCTTATGGCTTTTCAGCGGCGCCAGAACGCCCAGCCACTCGGTGAGGTTATTCCATCTTTTTGCAACATATTTTGGGTTCCTTGGTACGCCAGTTAGCCCCTCTAAGCAATTTGATATGATTTTTAGTAATCGGCTTGATTTCATGAAGTGATCGACCTGATGAAAGATCGTCTCACTTAGCTTAAAGCGCCTAAGCATTGGCTCATTAACAAAAAAGCACCGACATACAAGTTCAAAAGCAAAAAAGGCACCGACATAATGGTTCATTCGCAAAAGGACACCGAAGTACAGGTTCAAAGCAACGTAAGCGCCGACGTACAGGCATAGCGGAAGCAAAATTCAGGCGAACTTTTAAGGATCGACAAGAGGAGATCTTCGGTAATTTCCTTTGGAAAATTATCGCATCAAATGAGGATGACTTTAAGCGAGGACATCTTCGACGGCATTCCCTAGCTTATGGAGAGTTGTCACAAACAACTGGAGATTGTTTCAAGAGAAATAATCTTCGATAGTATTCCCTTGGACGTGGAATACTATCAATGCGGACGAGGATTGTTTCAAGAGAAATAATCTTCGATAGTATTTCCTTGGACGTGGAATATTATCAATGCGGCTGAGGATTGTTTTGAGAGAAATAGTCTTCGATAGTATTCTCTTGGACGTAGAATATTATCAAAACGGAGGAGGATTGTTTCAGGCGAAGCAATCTTCTATATTGGAAGCAGTTACAGGTGTAGCACTTTTCAAGCGGGATGGCATTCTCTACCTTGCATGAAGTCATCAAAACAGTGAAGCGACAGCAAATCGGTTACTTTCAGAGACGTGTGCTCGACGGTGCAAGATACGCGTTTCTTAACTCTTTTATCTGTTTAACTAATGCTAGTTTTGCAGGTATCGGCGTTACAAGAATGACTTAAGATCGCAGAATGTTCTGAATCATTCTCCGTCCCTATCGATACTTTGACTTTTGTTTTCGAAACTTGTGTTTCTCCAAACTCAGTCAAAGTGGGGGCTTCTGTAGACACCCATTTGTGTCTCCCCAAAACCAAACCCAGTGATGAGTGCCTTTCACGTCGAATCATAATCGAATGAAGTGAAAGTGTGGAAAGTCTAGTGTTGCGGATAGTTTTAATTTCTTTACTTTTCTTTCTGTTTTTGAAAACTTATTTTAAGAAAACAACCAATCCAGTTTGGTTGGTCCATAATACGGGTCCAATAGTAGTGTGGTTGGATGGGACTTGACAAGACCTTTCCAACGATATATTATAAGCCCAATTCCGATGAATATTGATGAAGTTATGGCCAATTTACTAAACTGGGTCCGGTTTGAGCCTTATATGCGGCCCAATGATCTAGGGGAGGGCCTAATATGATTTATCATTCCTAATGCAATTAGGAATGGTTTTAGTTTTCTTGATTCTTCTAGAAGGTTCTTTTCATTCCTAATTCAATTAGCATTGATAAATTGACTTTTGTTGACTTTTCAGAGTTTTAATTAAAATCAAATAGCGTTTTTGAGGAAAATATACAATTTTATCCTCCTGTACGGCAAAATTTATCTGATTTGAGAAAGTGCGTCAAAAACAGGCCTGGCGCCTGTCCAGGCATTGGTGCTTGGAGCTAGGCCTGGCGCCAGCCATTGGCGCCTGGCGCTAGCGTTGGTGCCTGGCGCCAGTTAGCCAGGGTTGGCGCCAGCTCTATTTCAGTTGCGCCAATACTCTGCTTTGTTAATTTTATCTTTTTGGCTGATTTCTCTATAAATAACGACGTAAAAACTCCATTTTGAGGGACCTACAATCAGTTTTCAATTCTCTCTCATTCTCTTTAATCGTTCGCTAATTCTCATCAAGATTTCTTTAATCATTCTTCCATCTCTCTCTTTCCCTTTTTTCTAAATCTTGCTTTTACATACAAAATTCCGCATTCATTAGATCTAGAAACACCTAGCCATATTCGAAGTTGCCTTCGCCTAGACGTGAAAGGTTTAATTTCTTAGGGTTTGGTCCCAAATCTCTATTTCAATTATTTAATTTAATTGTTTGTTTATTATTTTCCTTGAAGTTACTAACGTGTGTATTTTGTTATTAGAAAGAGGTACGAGGCATCAAACAAGTGCTTTAATGGTTTTAATTGATATTATGATGTAGAAATCATGTTTATATTGTTATTATGATATTCCTAGTATCATGTTTAGGGAAAAGTTTATAATATCAAATATGCTTATTATGATTCCTGCGATGCTTCGTATGTTCTTCCTAATATTAATGATTGTTAGTATTATGTTAGGGTTAAAGATTTGATTTTTATGTCTTAGTAACATGCTAGGCTTTGTAATTAATCTTGTTAGTATCATGCCTAGGATCTTGCTATTATTATGCTTTAATCACTAGTGGAAAAATCCTCATCCGTAACGGGCAAAAAGGGGCCATCCGTAACGGGCAGCGTCCGTTACGTATGTGGCCGTTACGGATGGCCATTGTTATTCGTAACGGGCACTGTCCGTTACGAATAATGAGTTATTCGTAACGGACATTTGAAATGTCCGTTACGAATAACTCATTATTCGTAACTGACATTTCAGATGTCCGTTACGAATAAATCATTATTCGTAACGGGCATTTTAAATGTTAGTTATGAATAAGGGGTTATTCGTAACGGACATCTGAAATGTCAGTTACGAATAAATTTTTTTTGTATTAAAATAAGTCCTTATTCGTAACGGGCACATAAAACACCCGTTACGAATAAGTAATTATTCGTAACTGACATCTTAAATGTCCGTTAAGAATAGAGTTTTATTGTATATAATTTAACACTTATTTGTAACGGGCAACAAAAGTGCCCGTTACGAATAACTGGTTATTTGTAAATGACAATTTTGCTGCCCGTTACAAATAATTATTAAATTAAATTTTCATTTTATTTAATTTCGACAGCATGTATTTATATATAATTAATATATATTAATTAAAACCTGTTATAATATACCTGTTCCTGTAAATAAGCAATTATACCGAACAATCTTTTGTAAAAATTAATACGACGTAATATAAAAACTGAAGTAGTAACACATTACAAATAAAAACTTGTATAAATTTATCCAACATATACAACAACACTAAAAATATTACGTTGTTCTACCTAAGCTAATAGTTAAGCATTCAATAAATATTTACTTCTAAAGTATTGCGCCCATTGTTCTCGAACCACATTCAACTCGTCAACATCATACGGGGTGGTCCTTGGACAAAAATCCTATTGAAAAAAAAAACATATGAAAGAGGTTAAAAAATAAAAACAATCCATAATAAAAACAATCATTAGAATAAATGTGATGAACCAAATTATAGAAATAAAACTCATAATATAGAAACAAAACACATAACATCCTTAATTGACTTATATTTTGATTTCTATGAGTTGAAATCAATAAAAAGTTAACATTTACTCACTTTTGGGAGCGTATAACATCCTTAACACAATGTAACACATAACATCCTTAATATCTTATTTTTTTGGTTTCTATGAATTGAAATCAATGAAAATTGACCACTATCTCACTCTTAGGAGCGTATAGAGCCAAAAACGCTTCACAATTGCCTAAGGGACTTCTACCTTTCCCATATTTCAAGTATTTGTTCAACAATATAACACATAACATCCTTAATTACCTTATATTTTGGTTTCTATGAATTGAAATCAATGAAAATTGACCATTTACTCACTTTTAGGAGCGTATAGAGCCAAAAAGGCTTCAAAATTGCCTAAGGGACTACTACCTTTCCCATCTTTCATGTATTGGTGAATTAACACAATATAACACTAAACATCCTTAATTACCTTATATTTTGGTTTCTATGAATTGAAATCAATGAAAATTGACCATTATCTCACTCTTGGGAGCGTATAGAGCCAAAAACGCTTCAAAATTGCCTAAGGGACTTCTACCTTTCCCATCTTTCAAGTATTTGTTCAAATTAACACAATAAAACACATAACATCCTTAATTACCTTATATTTTGGTTTTTATGAATTGAAATCAATGAAAATTGACCACTATCTCACTCTTGGGAGCATATAGAGCCAAAAACGCTTCAAAATTGTCTAAGGGACTTCTACCTTTCCCATCTTTCAAGTATTTGTTCAAATTAACACAATATAATACTAAACATCCTTAATTAAATTATATTTTGGTTTCTATGAATTGAAATCAATGAAAATTGACCATTTACTCACTTTTAGGCGCGTATAGAGCCAAAAAGGCTTCAAAATTGCCTAAGGGACTTCTACCTTTCCTATCTTTCATGTATTGGTTCAAATTAACACAATATAACATTAAACATCCTTAATTACCTTATATTTTGGTTTTTATGAATTGAAATCAATAACAATTGACCATTATCTTACTCTTGGGAGCGTATAGAGCTAAAAAGATTTCAAAATTTGCAAAAAAAAAAACTACTAACCTCTTCTAAGACACCTTTGCACTCCAAGTGAGAAGTAACAATCTCATACATGTATCTCATAATGTAGTAGCCACATTCAAAGCCTCCTTGTTTTTGAGCACACTAGTATATATAACAAATAGTTAAAAATTTCGTTTTCAAAGTGAACAATGTATAACAATATGGGGTGAGTAGTGTATTTACCTCCATTTGTATGAATTTCAATTTTTGCCTTTGTGATTTCAATTCACTCCCTGTGAGATTCGCCCGATATACTTTATAAGCCCTACAAAAATAATATATATTCTAACACTTAGAACAAAATAATCTACAACACCACATACAAAAATGATATAGAAACTAGGGCATAATTTCAAGGTTGTGGCTCACGTCATCATAATCTCAGCAATTTTCAATTTTCAGGGATTTTCTTTAGCTAGCTTCATAGAGTCAAACTCATAAGCTAAACCTAATTGTAGATCAACCACCACAAGAACCCAATGACCACTACATCATTTAAGAGAAAAACACAAGTTAGAGTATTGGAAAATTGGTGAAAAACATATCATTTATATGATTAAGTTTAGTGGCAATATAAAAACATATTTCGAACCTTGCGACATATGGAGCCACGATGAATTTGCAACGTTTACCCGTCTTTCTTACTTCATGCAAAAATGTATTCTTCACATATGTATAAGTTTCAAGGTAATCATTCTCAATTGAAGATTCAGAAATGAGTTGAGGACAAAAGAATGTGATCTCAGTCCTGTTGAAAAGGTCGATGAAGTTGTCTACTAAATACCTACATGATAAAGACATAGAAAACAAAAAATTCAGCATTATAGCATTAAAAATATTACTATAGTGAATATAAGAACCAAAGTAAAGGAAGATTAAGTAACCTACATGATATAAACATGAATCAATGAAACATTAGCCCACGATCCTCTTAGAAATTCACGTACATCGGTAGCAGTTACCCAAATATGTTTGTCGCTATCAAAATTAAACATTGAGGCCTTTAAAAGTACCGATGTTGTATCATACTTTGCATCATCAGAATTCATTAACCAATACAACAACTCACACCCCTCGACAAAAGTATCGACAATTTCATCTTCAAGTGGTAGGAATTTTGTGGGTTTGATGGTAGATTGCCTTGATTTCACACCACAACTATCGTCCCCTTCTTTGCTTTGGCGAGATCTATGCTTCTTTTTGGGCGATGTTGAAACCTTTACAAATAGGTAAATATTAGTCTAGATAAAGTATACAAAAATGATGGGATTTAATGTTAATAGTAGGAGAATATACCTCTTCTTCAAAAAAAAACCATGTCTATGGGCCATAGTACAAAGGAAGACTTGGCTTTTCCCAACTTAGTCACACCATCGGGAGACGGTACCGGTATATCGAGGAGGGCACAGTCGGGATAAAGGTTGTCCACACTAACCCTGTAATGATCAGGTAACATCTTCAGGTTGTGCGTAACTTCACCGGTAACAGGATATACCGTTCCATCTGCCACAACCACTAAATATTGATTGTACTCATCTTTCAATGCTAGGCGACATTTAGTGGCTACCTACATATTACAAAAAACTCGATCAATATTATACATGTTAACCATGTAAAGTCATATCTTTAGTATTAGTTAAAGACATATACCTCTATTACACGAGGGCTTTGTGTTGCCTCCATGTTCGTAATCACTTGCATTCCTTGAAATGCCTCCACGTCACCGGTCATCTGTGGTAGTAAATTGGCGAGATAAGCTTTCACCTCCATTGCCACCCGTTGTTCCAACCTCTCTTCAATCCTCTCTTGAAGCTTCTCTTCAACCTTTTCTTCTAGCCTCGCCTCAAATTCTTGAGTTAAGGTAGCTTTCATTGATTCTAACTCTTCTAATGAGCATCCACCTTGGCCGGATGATTTACCCTTTTTGTATCCCTTCCCAAATACTTGTGTGTGACTAACTCCAACCCCACACCTTCCTAGTGCTTTTACATGCCCGCAGTGATCCCTTTTTCCTAAAGCCTTGTCGAGGGCATCCATACCAATAACATCACTTGAATTGTTTCCTTCATCATTCTTTTGCAAGTTTTCCAACTATTAAAAAAAAAACATATATAAGATATGGCAGAACAAGAACCTGAATTGAAAAAAAATGATATCCATAAATAGACTTGTAGCCTACAGCATATATAAAAACATATATAATCATTCTTGTGTGATTAAAGAATGCAATAACCTCCTAATCCAAAATTTTGATTGCAACAGTAGGTTGAATGTACATCAACCGAAATCAAAGCACACCTAATATAGGATGAAACTGAAATTTCAGAACTGGTCAGAACTGAAATTTCAGAACTGATCAGAACTGAAATTTCAGAACAGATCGGAACTGAAATTTCAGAACTGGTCGGAATTGATCGGAACTGAAATTTCAGAACTGATTGGAACTGAAATTTCAGAACTGATCGGAACTGAAATTTCAGTGATCGGAACTGATCAGAACTGAAATTTCAGAACTGATCGGAACTGAAATTTCAGAACTGATCGAAAGTCATCGGAACTGAAATTTCAGAACTGATAGGAAGTGATCAGAACTGAAATTTCAGAACTCATCGGAACTGAAATTTCAGAACTGATCAGAACAGAAATATCAGAACTGATCGGAACTGAAATTTCAGAACTGATCGGAATTGAGACAAACAATAGTGCATAATGGATAATATTAATCAACTTGAAGACAAGGTAATAATTGCAGAACTAAAAGAGACAGCAATTTTAAAGCTGCAGAACTTCTCCCTAAAGCCATATAGTAGCAGTGCAGCACACATGAAAGCCATAACCAAACACACCTTAACATTTCCAAAAACAAAAATTGAAGGCAGAAACATAAGATCAAATTTAATTTTTAATCTCGTGACGGTACTAGGAAACAACGTATAGCAACTAAATTACACAAACACCTGGTCATGAACCTGCCCACATGCAATATGGAGTGCCTCAATATTTGGCTCTACCAATTATTCGTTGGTGCTGAATGTAATACATATTTACAAATTTCTTAGTCACTTAAACCACTATTAATTAATGGCACATTGTATTAATGCAGCGCATCTTCCAGAATTGTGAAGAAAAAAAAAATGCTAGTGGAGCTAACACCTCAAGAAACTTGCATGAGGCACATTACAGGATACAACTCATGATCAAGCATCGTGGTTTGGTTACTAGTAGGATTCCAGCAGTCAAAGTATTAACCTAAAATCTTCGTAGTTTGTACAATGCTAACAATGATACAAGACCACAAAGTCTTTGAAGGAAATTTATAACAAACCCCAACACTCTACTATATACTTAGCTAACAATAAGTTCTTGTGAAGGATACATCATAAAAGGCTAAAACATAAAAGTTTGAATAATGGTACATTCCGATCTACTACTAATAAAAAAATTGATCATATTAAAAGTGAGTTCATCAAATATTAGCGGTACTTAAAGGACTTAGAAATACATGATATTTTACACTGCTCTTGCAAACAACCACTGCCAAATCCAAGCTTCACTCGTATGTGCAATTTCTTATCGATCATGACTAAAAGCATTTCTTTCATCTCTCAAAGTCCTACCTCAAAAGAACATTCACATTGACTTTGTTCATATCCAACAAATGTAGGTAAAGAGAATTTCGAAATTCCAAGAGCATATTCACACTACCCTTCATGAATTTTGTTCATAGGTGGAACACTCTAAATACTGACAAGAACTGAAATTTCAGAACTGATCGGAATTGATCGGAACTGAAATTTCAGAACTGATTGGAACTGAAATTTCAGAACTGATCGGAACTGAAATATCAGAACTAATCGGAACTGAAATTTCAGAACTGATCGAAAGTCATCGGAACTGAAATTTCAAAACTGATCGGAAGTGATCAGAACTGAAATTTCAGAACTGATCGGAACTGAAATTTCAGAACTGATCAGAACTGAAATTTCAGAACTGATCGCAACTGAAATTTCAGAACTGATCGGAACTGAAATTTCAGAACTGATCGGAACTGAAATTTCAGTGATCGGAACTGATCAGAACTGAAATTTCAGAACTGATCAGAGCTGAAATTTCAGAACTGATCAAAACTGATCAGAACTGAAATTTCAGAACTGATCGGAACTGAAATTTCAGAAGAGCTTATGACATGATTGCTGGACTTGATTATTTGCACAAAGACAGATACTTACCACTACTACGACATGCTGAGCCACATTCAGATTAGGGACAGAGAGGAACATAGGGAAAACAGAGAATATAGTAGAAGTAAGTAATCAAATAAGGAGAAACAAAGAAGAAGAGTGCAAACAAGAGCCAGGACAGAAAGTACTTTGATTGCATAAAGAAGAGCAAGAAACAATGAATGCATGTCTGTGCTGCAAATTTGATTGTATCAACCTACTTTAGTCGATTCTTATGATTTCAATCACTATTCTAAGGCAACTAATTGAGATGGTGAAGGGGTCACAACGGTCACAGCACAACTAATCAGAACTGAAATTTCAGAACTGATCGGAACTGTTCAGAACTGATCATAACTGAAATTTCAGAAGTGATCAGAACTGATCGGAACTGATCAGAACTGAAATTTCAGAATTGATCGGAACTAATCAGAACTGATCAGAACTGACATTTCAGAAATGATCGGAACTGAAATTTCAGAACTGATCGGAACTGATCAGAATTGTAATTTCAGAACTGATCGGAACTGATCAGAACTGATCGGGACTGATTAGAACTGATCGGAAAAGGCCTCAACTTTAGCAAATCCCATTAAACAACGCAGGAAGCAGGAAATGAGCAATAAACAGAAAAGGCCTCCCATTAAACAATGCAAGAAATGAGCAATAAACAGAAAAGGCCTGATCACTTATCAGCTCAAAAGTATAAACAAGTAACTAAAAAAAAAACTATACTTGGTTACTTAGAACAACACTTACAATAGCATTGGCTATTTGCTGGGTTTCGGTATTCTTCGGGTCTATAGCCCACGATCCATCTGCATTACGAGTTTGACGGGCCAAAATCCAATAAAGAGACCGATTTCTAAGCTTTTCACTCATTACACAGCTTGTTGTGGACTCTGTGGTGCTTGAGGTTGAAGATTCTGCTGGAATTCTATTGGTCTTACTCCAATCAACTCGAGCCCTCTCATAACTCTTGGAGCCTAGATGGTGGCGATGCTTATTATTCTTTGCATTTTCCTTGCCTTTTTCACTCAGAGCCTATTACAAAATGGAAAGCTATTGTAAGTAGTATTGTAGTTGAAATAAAGTATATATGTGAAAAATACTTTCATAATATCTTACACACCTTAAATTCATCTGTATTGCAATATGTCTCAAACTCTTTCCATTGCTCTTCTGTGATGTAACCTTCATAAAGCTCCCAGGGCTTAATGTTTGCACTTGGTGAGTCAGGCGGAGGTGCAGTTCTCTTAGTAATGAATCGTGAAACTAACCAAGACTTGTGCTTCCTAAATCTAGCACCAACAGCTTCGTGGAACTTCTTCTCTTTACTACCCTTGGGATCATCAATGTGGAACTTCCGCTACAAAATTAGAGAATGTTAATATTCATAATTAATTATAAGTATCGTTAAATTTAGAGCAATAAACCATATTTATATCGTAATTACCTTACTCTCCTCCCACAAGTTTTGCTTTTGAACTTTATCATACTTCGGATATCCCTTCACATTAATGTTAACTCTTTGAGCACAATTACCAATTTGCTTCCCATAAGCAGATTCCCACTTTCCAATAGACATGTCAAACTCATCAAATTCGAGGAACACGGGTGTAATTGTTTGGACTGATTTGGACGGGCCTCGTCCCTTTTTTGTAGAAGATTTTACTTGGGAAGTGGAGGCATCCATGTCACCAGATTTGTTCCTGTCCATCATGATCATCTCTGTTTTCTTCCATTGTAGTATGCCTACACCTACACAAAGAATGAAATTAACAAGAATAGAATCAAAATCATAATAATAAAATCATATTAATGTAAATACTATACAATAAAGAAATTAATGATTTAGATATATACCAATTTAATAAATTCAATATTAATTGCAAAAAAATACTATTGTTAAAGGAATACAATAACACAAACCTTGGTTGTAGGTATAGGAACCACTAACCCTTCCTCACGATCATACTCTACATCACCAACAATATCTTCCCCTTCTTGTAGAGGTTGCACTCCCATTGTTATAGGCGGGATGTCATCAAATTGGTCATACTCTTCTTCATCCACAACATCTTCCACACCCACAATTTTTCTCTTGCCTTCAACTACAACACGCCATTGCGGATCTATATTATCCTTGATGTAGAATACTTGTTTCGATTGTGAGGCTAATACAAAAGGCTCTTCACCATCAGTATAACGACTAGAGTCAACCAAGGTGAATCCAAATAACTCATCGATTTTCATACCACGACGGTTATCAGCCCATGTGCAACGAAATAAAGGAATTGTGAAATCAACATAATCCAACTCCCAGATTTCTTGAATGACACCGTAATATGCCTGTGTAGCTTCAAATGGCCTTGTATCCCTAGAACTTGAGTATTCAGTAGAAGATGCAACCATGACAACACCACTATTTTGTTGCACACTTTTTTCATCTTGACGACAAGTGGCAAAAGTAAATCCATTGATATCGTAACTCTCATAAATATACACAAGTGGTTGTGGACCTCGTGAAAGCCACTTGATCGTTTCAGAAAAATTCTCATCTCTACTCAATTCAAGCTTCACTTGGCCTTCAAACCACTCAACAAAGTGGCGATTATGCTCCTACATCAACGCATAGGAGCTGATCCTGGGATTGTGAATTTCAACTCATGAAGATGTTTTTCAATATATGGATGAACTGCAGATAGGTTTTGTAGCACAAATCGGTGGGCTTTCTTATATCGATCAAGTGGAGGCTTAACCAATTTCCAACCTACTGTACCCTTTCCTTGAAGTCTTCCCTCGTGACGAGAAGTCGGAATCCCAATTTCTTTAGCCTTAGCTAAAAACACTAGTTCCCTGCTTCCTCTGCTATGAACCCTTTCACGATGCTCCCTTCAGGATTTGCTCTGTCTTTGCTCTGTTCTTTGTTCTTTGCCTTATCTGCCAAAGTACCCATTGGCCTCTCATAAGGGTACATCCAACGCATAAATACAGGACCGCACTCCTTTATCTCACGAGGCAAGTGCATAACAAGGTGAGTCATTATGTCAAAAAAGGAAGGAGGAAAATACATCTCGAATTTGCATAATGTTTCAACAATATCATATTCCATATCGTCGAGTGTTTTTGGATCTATCACCTTACTGCAAATTGCATTGAAAAACAAGCAAAGCTTCACAATAGCATGCCTAACATGTTTTGGCAAAAGGCCTCGGAGTGCAATTGGCATGAACACTTGCATCATCACATGACAATCATAGGACTTCATACCAACAACTTTCTTATCAGTAGTAGAAACAAAACGCCTTAAGTTCGACGAATACCCTGTCGGCACCTTGATTCCTTTCAAACACTCACAAAAGATCCTTTTTTCTTCTCTAGACAATGTATAACACGCATGGGGCAAAAATGCTTTTTTCGTTGCTTCATTTTCCTCAGCCCATAACTTAGGTCGAATTTTGGCTTCCTTCATGTCTCTACGCACATTAACACCATCCTTTGTCTTTCATTTGATATTCAAAAAAGTCCCAATTAGTGCCTCACAAACATTTTTTTCAATATGCATAACATCAAGACAATGTCGAACCGACAAGTGCTTCCAATAAGGCAGATCCCACGACTTAGACACTTTTTTCCACAACACACCCTTCTTCGATATCTCTCTGTGCATCTTACCGAAGATTGTCTTAACATTTTTAATTTTCTCATACACTTCGATTCCTGTCAATGGCTCACGACTCACTCCCCTCTCAACATGCCCGTCGAATTGTTGTCTCATCTTCCTGTATGGGTGATTTCGACGAAGTGATCGTCTGGTATGCATGTACACATTCTTCCCCCAATGCTTCAAGCGTGTAATTTGCATGTCATCCTCACAAATAGGGCATGGTTTTTGTCCTCTGACTTTGTACCTTGACAAATTTCCATATGCAGGAAAGTCAATAATAGTACAAAACACCATGGCTCTTAATCTGAAATTTGTACCCGAAAGAGCATCAAATGTCACAACACCTTCATCCCACAACAATTTCAAATCGTCAATAAGGGGCTCCAAATAAACATCTATCTCATGGCCAGGTTGTTTAGGACATGGGATTAGAAGTGATAACATGATGTACTTGCGCTTCATGCACAACCAAGGAGGTATATTGTATATTGACAGAAGAACAGGCCATGTACTATGTTGACTACTAAGGGTGCTAAATGGATTCATCCCATCCGTACTTAATGCCAGTCTTATGTTCCTCGGCTCCTTCTCGAATTCTAGAAATGTCTTGTCAATGTGTTTCCATTGCAACGAATCAGCTGGGTGTCTGATCAACCCATCCTTCTTCCTCTCATTTTCATGCCAAACCAACTTCTTTGCTTCATCCTTAATTGAGAACAGGCGCTTCAACCTTGGTATTATAGGAAGATACCATACTACCTTAGCTGGTGGCCACTTCAAGGGATCCTTATTTAAGCCCTCTCGCTTGTATCGTGACACACCACACTTTGGGCAAGCATCCAATTTTGCATTCTCCTTTCGATATAGCACACAATCATTAGGACATGCATGGATCTTGGTGTACTCTAAACCCAATGGACACATCAACTTCTTTGCATAGTAAGTCGACTTAAGAATGTCATTTCCTTCTGGAAACATATCAGAGAGAGTTTCCAACAACAAAGTGAAACTAGTGTTGGTCCACCCGCTCTTCGCTTTCAAGTTATATAAAGTTAAAATCCCAGAAAGCTTGGAATACTTAGAACAACCAGGATACAACGGTGTCTCAACTGCTTTCGACACATTCTCATATATATGAGAATCTTCATTAACATGATCGCCTAATCCGTCTATCATCTCTTCTATCCTGTCTTCCTCAACATCATCATTAAAACCCACTTCATTATCGTCAAAACCATTCGGCTCTCTCTCATCAGCTTCATTGTCGTTAATAGAAGAATTATCCGCGGGAGGAAATTTTTCGCCATGCCAATACCAAATACTGTAGTTTGGCATAAACCCACGAATAATCAAATGGTCCTCTATTTTCTTAATGTCTTTCCACCTCTTCACATTGTTACAATCACGACAAGAGCAGAAAATAGGTCTTGCTTTGGTTAGCCTTTGTTCAACAAGTGTACTCCATTGGTGTTGCACTGCGATTCTACAGAACTCTTTGACCCCGGCTAAGTATTCAGGTGTGGTTCGAGAACCACTATACATCCAACGACGGTCCATTTCTAAAAATGTATGATTAAAACCCAAGAAACAAATTATATTCAACATCACATATCAACACATTCCAAATGCATGATTCCAAAGGTCCTTATCGCTCCAACCTAACCCATCCTTGGAAGTGTATTCACACTAGCAAATGGTTGACCATTTTTCGGCCTTAAGGAAATTTCGGCAGCATTTCCCTATGGTTCTCAAAGTACACGATGTAATTAATTTCTTAATTACATATGTACCCCGAGAACACATTAGGGAATGCTAACACAAAATTACCTTTACTTCCGAAAAACAAGCAACCATTTGCATCCTAAGTGAGAATACAATTCCAAGAACAGTCCCAAACAGGGACTATTCAAGATTTACTCCTAATGAGTAAATCTTGAACGGGTATCTAAGCATATGAAAATATAATGCATAATAAATATTAACACATTTGAATTGGCAGAAAATTGGAAGAAAATTAAACAAAAATCATAAGAAAGAAACTCTCAATGCAATGTACTAATTAAACAAAAAAAAACAAGCTACAAAACAATTAATTACTCATACCAAATTGTCAGATTTAAGCCGCATCAAATCACCATCTTGAAATGAGGACGGAGTTGCTTTAATAGAGTTGAGGGAGCTAAGGACCGAGCTGCTCCTGAAACATCATATTCAAGTCACTCCCATTTCCCACCAAAATCAAAATATCAAATTAAATAGAAGTAAGTTTCCATTTCCAAACAAATGGCCAGGAATATCACTGTAGTAAGACTTTTAAACTTAGGGTCAGATAACAATTTTGTAAAGGATTTTATTTTGATAACATTCAAAAGTTATTTGAAATATGAACTTTTAAACTTTTGTTCCTCTTATAGTGATTAAAAGAGTTAATATTTTCTCCATTAAATTTTGTGTTCAACGGATGTTTAAGAATACATATAATAATACATATATAGAGAGAGGGAAGTTCTATCAAGAGCTACCCCTCACTCTCGGATGTTTAACGATATTAATGTATGTATATCATATCAAATAATTATTGGGTAACTTTTAATCAATTTTAGAGTAACGTTAAATTGAACAACTAACATTATAATGTAAGACATGAGATAAGTTTTATGTTGATAATACAAATACCTTTTCATCGTATTGTGATTGGTTTTTTTACTCATTTTAAGGGATTAACCTTATTGATAAACTATATAGTGAGATAGTTTCATGAGAAATGAGTAATTTAAATATCATAATAAGTAACAACTTATTATTATTATTATTTTATTGACAAAAAGATACTATCACAGAAATGGGGGAATGAGTATCGAACCCCCAACCACTTGAGGGCATCCCTCAATCTCTTATGTCCTCTATTTGTTCATTTCAATGTGGAAGTGAAAAGACTGAAAACATGGATAACCATAGGTTGACTACTTGAGCTACAAGCAAACTTAAATCTATACTAATTTTGCCAGTTGTATTGTACTAGTCAAATAAGCCAACCTTCCATATAAAACTATAAACATGCAATCTAGTGAATCTACATTACATTCCTAATTTAAAATCATTTGAATAAACAAAATAATTAGCAATTTTATAAAGAAAATCCCTCCTTAGATGCCAAATCTTTTGCAAGACATATTCAAAAAAATACCAGTACATTTCAACCTCACTTTAGACAATCCACCAAACAGTCAAAAATAATGCACGTAGAAGTTCCTAGTGCAGGGAGAAGTATTGCATTATTTTAACTAATGGTATTCCATTCAAGTGATAAGTGGTATTAAAAATGACTTAGTCATCTAGCTTTAGCAAAGAAAAACTATATATCTTGGGTAAGACTGTAGGAGACAACAAGACCGAAACACAAGTGCAGAGAGAGACCAATGCCGCAATTTAATTAGAGCACAAAATATACAACTACCTCTTGATCAAAGCGAGAATCTTTTTGTGCCCAGTGGTAATCACATCCAAAGCTTATCATGCGCAGGGCAACTGCAAATATACGGATTCACGATGTAAGGGGGGATCCAGAAAGATAGTAATAATTTGGGGAAAAAATCAATCAATTAATTCATACTTAGCTCAAAATTCAAAGGCTTTTAAACTAAAACATAATAAAACCCAAAACAAATGGAAAACAGTAAAATCAATCAATTAATTTGGGGAAAAAAAATAAAACCTATAATTAAGTAATTGCAATTAAGCAAACTGAAACAAGGGTTACGAAATTGGGGGAGGAGAGAGAAAGAGTACGATTTAATGGAGAACTATGAGCGCTACAATGGAGAACTCAGACAGCGCTTCAATGGAGAACTCAAACAGCGCTTCAATGGAGAACTCGGAGTGCGCTTCAATAATGGAGAACTCGGAGTGCGCTTCAATAATGGAGAACTCGGAGTGCACTTCAATGGAGGAGAAGAGTGAGAATGAGAGGAGCAAAAGATTGAACTGAGCTTGGAGCTCCTTCAATGGAGTTGAGGGAGGTGAGGACGACGACCTTGCGCGCGGGAGCTGCTTTAATATTGGAGAGAGAAAGAGGAAATTTTTTTACAGAGGGAGTGAGAAAGGGGAAAGTAAAAATTTAGGGCTTACTTTAAAACCTTATTCGTAACAGACACCCCATGTTAGTTACAAATAACAAGGTCAAAATTCTGTTGACTTTTCTATTTGTAACGGGCAATATTTGTTGGTTACGATTAGTTAGTTAATTGTAACGGGCAGAATAATGCCTGTTACAAATAACAACTTATTCGTAACGGGCACCAATCTGTCCGTTACGAATAACCCTTTTCCTGCCCAATTCACAACTTTTTTGTAACGGACATTGAATTTGCCCGTTACGAATGACTTAATTGTAACGGAAAATCATATGTCCATTACGAATAGCTTGTTAAAAATAAGATTTTTTCCACTAGTGAATATTAACATGAACATGAATATGATTATAATTGTTATAATTTATGATGATTATGAATAATAATATTATTATTATTATTATTATTATTATTATTATTATTATTTTGATGATGATTATTTTATTTATGACGATAATATTATTATTATTATTATAACTATTATTCATGATATTTATTATTTATTATGTTGCTTGATTATTTATTGTTTGATCACACCTTTTATGCATGTTTAAAGGGAATTGGTACTTGTAATCACGCTTAATAAGATAATTGATAATCTTGGTTAGGGTTAATTGTGAATATAATTCAAGTGATCGCCAATAATAGTTTTGTTTGTGCATTAATATTCAACCAACATAGATAAACAGGTTTAGGGTTAATCCAATTGATTGCATGTTAGTCAGAAAGCGCACATGAATACAATCAGAATAAAGTAGAGGCCTATTATAAGGGCAGGTTCAATCTCTTTTAGGTTGGATTTGTACCATCATCCCCGAAACCTTATTTGGTTCTAGACCTTTATGGAGTTGATGATCTCTTGGATCGTTAAGGGGTGCAACCTTCACCCTGTGAATGGTTTACAAGTTCCTAAAGCTTGTTGGCGACTCTTTTACTCTATCTTTTTCCTTTTGGATGCCACCGTACTTTAGTGTATGATCACAGTGGGGTTCGAGCTAGGGGTTAACGCTTGAAATTATTCCCTACAATTAACGCTTGAAATTATTCCCTACAACTGTCATGCTTGATGTGATGCTTGTTTTGATGTTGTGCTATGGTGGAAGCAATTATGCAGCCTATGGTTCTATTCTAAACATGTGTTTGAGTGATTTTGGTTCCTGAAGTCTCACTTAGTTTTCATTAATCAAACATGACCATCAACATTTCGTAATTCCTAACACATAAAACATCATATATTTCACAAAAAAATCAGACATAAGAATCATAAACAAAAATCAATATTGACCCTAACGAGGACCCTAATGATGATTTCTAACCTATAATCTATACAAAAATCATAGTACTCCTAATCTAAGAGAGTACTACTTACCTCCACAATGCTAGCCTAGTGAACTCCATAAGCATTAGCAGCATCAGCAGTCAGGACAGCTGTATGAAATCGATAAAGCCAAAAAAAAAGGAAATATTGAAATTAGAAATCCCAAATGACTTGGAGGAAAGACCCTGAACCAATATTAATGATGACAGAAAAGTGAAAATAATTTGAAAATTGATAAAACAGAATAGGGGGAAAAAATGCTACCAATGCCAAACTTTTCAACGATCTTATTGAGCTGCTCACTGGACTATGGTCCAGAAAAACACTGTCCATCACTGGACAATCAAACCCTTGTACAACATTCTCCAAACTATTAAAATCCAGCCCATAGTGTCGCACTAATTCGCTGACGGCCGCATGTAAAACTGTCCTCCGCTGATCTTCAGGTGTTGGGCCACTACTTGCTATGGAGCGGGGTCTGGACCGTGCCCTACTACGGGACCTACTAGCACTGACTTCACCACTTGCCCCAAAGTCGGCAGGGGCCTTAGGCACTTTGGGGACAGGGTCTCGTCGGTATATGGAAGTAATCTTCCTGTCCTCATTGGTTGGAGTATCACCCTGCCAAGAACAAAAGATATATGAGTATACAAACAAAACATTACAGCAACAAAGGCTACAAACAAAAACATAACCAAACAAAACAAACCCCACCCAACAACCATCTAACTTAATAAGTTTACAGCCCACTGTCGATGCGAAGTGCTGGTCGTTCGAGGCATCACACCTACAACACGAGCTAAACACAGGTCTTTGACATGTTGTACGACAGCATCAGGCGTAATACACGTGGATCATTAGATTGCGGCTAAGTTATGTAATTACATCACCTATAAATCTATGGGTTCTTCTCCTTCTTGGTTCCTAAAAACTTTTTGTGATTAAAGAGTTAATTAACTAATTAACTACGCTTTATTACGATGATATTAACACTCTTTTAATATACAGGAGTAATGTAGAACTTATTAGTGTATAAGTGACTGATTAGACCTTACATAAGATGGACTTTCCTTGTTTTCAAATGTATAATAAAATTTTATTAGGAAAAGCATGGCTAATCACTTTTTTGGGTGGGGGAATGAGATAGTGGCATAAGACAGAGTGTAGGTATTGAGTCAACGCTCTATATTAGATAAAGCTCCCACCCAACATGCTCATCCTCATATATAAGGTGGCAAGAGAGCAAGAATTTTATTCATATTATTCATTTAAAAATTGAATAATCGAATGAAGTGAAAGTGTGGAAAGTTTAGTGTTGCGGATACTTTTAATTTCTTTTCTCTTCTCTCTGTTTTTGAAAAATTATTTTAAAAAAAACAGCCGATCCAGTTTGGTTGGTCCATGATATGGGTCCAATAGTAGTGTAGTTGTATGGGGCTTGACAAGAGCTTTCCAACAATATATTATAAATCCAATTCCGATTAATATTGAGGAAGTTATGGCCAATTTACTAAACTAGGCCCGGTTTGAGCCTTATATGCGGCCCAATGATCTAGGGGAGGGCCTAATATGGATTTATCATTCCTAATGCAATTAGGAATGGTTTTAGTCTTCTAGATTCTTCTAGAAGGTTCTTTTCATTCCTATTTAGATTAACATTGATAAATTGACTTTTGTTGACTTTTCAGGGTTTTAATTAAAATTAAAGAGCATTTTTGAGGGAAATACGATTTTATCCTCCTATACGGCAATTTTTATCTAATTTTAAGAAAACGCGTGATTTTCTGAATCAGCGCCAAACGCCAGCTGTAGCGCCTGGCGCCAACATTGGCGCCTGGCGCTAGTATTGGCGTCTGGCGCCAATGGCCAGCGTTGGCGCCAAACTTGTTTCATGTGCGCTAGACTCTATTTTGATAATTTATTTTTTTGGGCTGATTTTCTTTATAAATAACGTCGTAAAAACTCCGTTTTCGATAACCAATTACAACCGTTTTCATCTATAATCATTCACCAACTCTCATCAAGATTTTCTTGATTACTGTCTCTCTCTCTTTTCTAAACTAGCTTCTCTCAAATATAAAAATTTCGCATTCATTAGATTTAGATACACCTAAACATATTCGAAGTTGCCTTCGCCCTAGACGTGAAAAAAAGAGGTACGAGGCATCCAAGTAAGTGATTTAATTGTTTAATTGATATTATCATGCTTAGATTGTTATTATGATTCCTAGTATCATGTTTAGGGTGAATTTAATATCAAATATGATTAAAAGTATGATGCTTCCTTTGTTCTTCCTAATGTTTATAATTGTTAGTATCAGGTTAGGGTTAAAGGTTTGATTTTTATATGCTTAGTGACATGCTAGGGTTTGTTATTAATCTTGTTAGTATCATGCCTAGGATCTTGCTATTATTATGCTTTAACATGATTATGCTTATAATTATTATTATGATTATTTTAATTATGGTTATTCTTATGATTTTGATTATTATGATTATAATTATGATTATTATTATTATTTTGCTTGATTATATTTATTGTTATTGCTTGATCACACCTTTTTATGCATGTTTAAAGGGAATTGGTACTTGTAATCACGCTTAATAATATAATTAATAATCTTTTTTAGGGTTAATTTGATTACAATTCAAGTGATCGCCAATAATAGTTTTATCTGTGCATTAAATTCAATCAATATAGATAAACAGGTTTAGGGTAAACCTATTGATTGCATGTTAGTCAGAAAGCGCACATAAATACGATCAGAATAAAGTAGAGGCCTATTATTAGGGCATGTTCAATCTGTTGGGGTTTGGTGAGTCCGACTCACCGCGGAAACAAACCCAAAAACAAGACCGCACTCGCAATAAATAAAACCATAAACATAATTAAATTAATCACAAGATTAAGATAAGCTAATTACCTTTGACGCGTGCTTCGCTCCAAAATGAGCTCTTACTTGAAAGCTTCAATTCCCGCTCACACGGAGACCTCCAACGAAGTCCACCCGCACCAACAAAACCGACTAGGTCCAATGTCTTGGGGTTAGCAAGACCCGACTAATAAAACCCGAGTAATTATATTGAGTTCAAAGGTTTTCACTAATTGTGATGCCTTTTTCAACTCTTACTCAAGCATCATTCCCAATGCCCATACTTGGGTATTTATAGGAAATGATGGGAGTATCATTTACTCTCCCATCAATGTGGGATAGTATGATTTTTCCATTTTATTTTAAAGCTAAAATAAAATTAATAATCAAGCTAGTAATAAATCAACAAGTGGCAAGCTCATGTGAGTGGTTAGGTGAGGACCACTAGGAGAAGGGGGGGACCAAACTTGCTCCCCACTCCCTCTCCCGTAACCGGCCACCTCACTTCACACACACTCAAGGACCACAAGCCACATGGCACCCACCCTTGGGCACCAAGGCAGCCAAGGTGGGCTGCCATGTGCTGCTGTCCGTGGCAGCCACGCCCAGCAATCCCAGCAGGCCTAGCACTCGCATGCGGGCTGCCAGGCGCTGCTGGCCAGCAAGCCCAGCATGCTTGTGCGGGCTGCTGCTGGCCTTGTGCCTTGGCCAGCGCTGCTAGGCAGCAAGCAATGGCCTAGCCATGCTGCTGCTAGCTGTGGCGAGCTGGCGGGCCTAGCGTGCTAGCTGCTGCAGCTTGTTGCGGCATGGCTTGCTAGCCATTGCGCGCACAAG